CTGATCATCTACATTTGCCCTCTTACAGCACTAAACTATGTTTTCTACCTTTATCTTGCATCTACCTACCACTTCAGCATTTTATTAAAAATAATAATAATAATAATAATAATAAAGGGAGAAATGTGGGATCCACATATAAATCAAGTATAAAAATCAAATGAATATTCATATTTGACCTGACTGTTTATAGTTCATAATGCGTGATCAAAACCAAAAGTTTCTGTGATGACTGCCCTTGTACTGTTCACCATGTAACTTATTCACTATGTAAGAATTTGTTCGCCATGTAAGAACTTGTTCGTTATACTTCAGAAGATTGGAGACTGACGAGAATTAGGCTTGGGATGGATTAATGATTGTACATTGAGCATTGACTCCCCTATACAGAATTTTATTGTTGTTAACAACCATTTGATCAATAAATATGAGAGATGCCCTCTCAAAAAAAAAATAAGTTCATTCTCATGTGTCTATGCAATCTTGAAAAAAAATGATAAAAAAGGGAAAACATTCTACAAGTATCTAAATGAAACAAACAAAAATAACAAAAATGTAATTATCTACAAAGGAACAAAAACCAGACCTGACAGCAGACTTTTCCTCTGTAACATAAAAGCCAGTGGACCAAAGTCTATAGATTTGGGGATGGGGAATTTCTTTTAATTGTACAGTCAGGTGTCTTCTTTCATATATGAAGGAAATAAAAGACATTCTCAGATATGCTAAGGCTCAGAAAACAAAATAGTTAAGTATATATCTTTTTTTATTGTGCCTAAATATATGCTCCAAATAGCTAAGAGATAAAATATAATTAAGTTTTTAAAATTGGGAAATTAATAAACTTTAATTAAGACTGTGGGAAGCATGAAAACCAGTTTCTATTAAAAAAACTTCTAAATACATCTGTTGTAAACTTGATTAAATACAAAAATATAAATTGAAAAATAGTATCAAAAGATTTCAGGATGTACACATAGCACAGGAAGGCTAAAAACAGGGGCCTTGAGACAGATCCAGAGAGAGTAGGGACAGGGAAAAGTGATTCCCTAAATCTGTGAAGTAGTGGGCTCTTCCCTGAGCATTAATTGTGCCAGGCTGATAAGAGAAAACATAATAAAGTCTTGGGAACTAAACTACAGTGTAGACCTCTGCCTAGATTTATGACTGATCCCTAAGTTTGGCACAAGGGAGACAAACCAGAATAACACACAAAAGGTTTGAAAATGGAACTGACATTGGAAACAGCCCATGGAAAGTGGGTTGGGACATGTGGTCTTAATGTAACCTCGTTAAGTGACTTCTAAAACAAACAAACAAAAATCAACATTCTCCAGAAGATTTTAACAAGATTGAATCTCATAACATAATATTCAGAATGACCAGGGACTAGGATACAAAATTATACAACTTATAAGAACTAAACAAATCACAACAATTGTAATATAGATGTTGAAATTCTCAGAAAAGAATTTAAAGTAGCTATTTTAACTATATTCCATGAAGTAAGGGTGAACACTCTTGAAATGATCAGAAATATGAAAGTTCTCACACAGAAATCAAAGTTATAAAAATAAACCAAATGAAATGTATAGAACTGAAAAACATATAACTAAAATATTCACTGGATGATCTGAATGCCAAAAAGGAAATCACAAAAGGAAGATTCAGTCTTAATGTTAAGCTAAAACAATAGAAATGATGCAATCAGAATACACAGAAAAAATATATTTAAGTGAGCAAAGCCTCAGGAACCTGTGGGACAATATCAAAAGATCTACTAACAGTTTTATTTTTGGAATCCCAGATGATGTGGAGAAACAGTACAGAAAAAATGGGACTTTAAAAAAGAGGAACTTTAAGAGATAATGGAAATTATTCTGACAAGCTAGAAGCAAACTGAAATGTGTACACATTTAAAAATATTTAAAAAGGCAAAGAAATCTACATTAAAGCACTCCAAGAACAAAACTCTTCACCCAGATAGTTTCACTGGTAAATCCCAGTAAACATTTAAGAAAGATGTAGTATCAACTATATAGTATCTCTCCCAGCAAACAGAACGGAGCCTCATTTTTTGAGGCCTGCACTGTCCTGACACCAAAACCAGATGAAACCATTATAAGCAAAGAAAATGACAAATATCCCACTTGAATATAGACACAAACCCAATAAAATATTTAAAAATCCAATCCAGCAATACATCAAAAGGCCACTGTACAACAACCAAGTGTGGTTTATTTGGAGAACACAAGGCTAGTTCAACATTCAAAAATCAAAGTAATTGTCATATTATCAAACTCAAGGAAAAAAAAAACACAATCATGTGAGTTGATATAGAAAAAATATTTGAGAAAATAAACATACATTCATGATAAAAAGATCCCCCCCAACTAGGAATAGGTGGGAATTTCCTTAATTAGGACAAGATTATATAGAGCTACCATTATGTTTAATGGGAAAGGACTGGATGCCTTTGCTCTAAGGTCAGGAACAAGGCAAGCATGTTTGTTTTCAGTTCCCTACGCAACATCACACAGGGAGTTCTAGCTAGCCCAAAGAAGGAAAACAAAAGAAAGAAAAGGCCTACTGATGGGAAGAAAGAGATGAAGCGGTCTCAAGTTGCCTACTGATATTATTGTCCACTTCAGTGGTTCTCAGCCAGAGACTTTGTCCAAGAGTGCATTTGGCAATGTCTGCAGACATTTTTGGTTGTCACAACTGGGAGTGGGAGGGAGGATGGCTGCTAGCATCTAGTGAGTAGAGGCCAAGCATGTTGTAAACATTTTACAATGCACATGACACAGCCTCCCTCAGCAAAGAAATATCTAGCCCCAAACATAAGTAGGGGCTCATGAAAGGTTGCAAAACCCTGATCTACATAAAAATTCCCAAGGAAAGTCCATTAAACCTTCTAGAACTGAGTTCAGCAAATCAGAGAAAAATAAACAATTATCAGTTGTATTTCCATGCAGTAAGTATAAAAAAGAATTAATGGTGTAAAATCATGGTTTGTGTTCTTATTTTGCCATATTGACTCTGCTATGTGAAAAGGGAATGCACTTAAAAAGAATTAGCACCAAAAAAGAAAGAACTAGCACTTTTTGAATGCCAGGCACTTTATTTACATTCTCTCATTTTATCTTCTGCATGTCCACATGAAGAAATAAACCTAGTAAAGTATCTTTTTCAAATCACACTATTAATGAGGGGTTGATCCAATCTTTGAATAAAGGCACTTCAGAATGAAAGCTTCCAATCTTGATTATGTAATAATTCTTGCCATATTAAAAGCTACTCTAACAAATTCATAGTTTAGAAGATACCTTATGAACTCATTAACTACAAAAATGTTTTATTCTTCATTATTGAGAAATTAGAAAATTAATATTACCTAAATTTCTTAATGTTATGCTTTCTTTCAATGTTAAATTTTAAAATAATGTCTTTTAATGTAATTACACAAGGGTTTATTCAAATTCTGTGAACAAAATACTTAAATAATTTATACTTTATTTCTTACCTTTCCTTTCATGAAAGAGATCTGGTCGAAGTAATGCCAGTATCTTTTCTAATTTTATGCCTTTCATATTTTTAAAATCAGGGAAGAAGATATCAATAAGCTTATTAACATTAGCTATATTATCTTCAACATCACAGAACTGGGATATATGTTGTCTTTCCAGATATTCTTGTAAACTGTTGAAATCCAGAATATAATTGGAATTTATTATAAACTAAAGTTTTATAACCATGCCAGAAAATGAAAACTGATATGCTCACAAATAATTTGGCATTTAGTAAAAAAATATAAAAATGTAATATCATGTAGAGAAATTCTATCACATCAAAGAATATGTATATAATTCAACTTTTTATTGAACCAATCCAAAATTCAATTATATGAAATCATTGAAAAAGTATGTTTGACTTCATGAGAGGAAAAGAAACACCAAAACAAAAAATAATTTTTCTACTACATAAAGTCTTCCAGATAGTTTTTATGTTTCCTTTTGATGTTGTCTTGAAGTAAGGATTATTAGGACATTATATTTTCAAATACATAAGACATCTTGTCATCTTTTTATTGTTTATTTCCAATTTTATAATCAGCAAATGCATGTTAAATTTTAATTTAAAAATCTTGTTAAAGTTTCCTTGCAAGCAAAGTTTATGTATATTCATATTTCATATATTATAGATCACTTATATAATTATGGAATATGTATTTTCCATTCCTGTATATCCTTGCTTGTTTGTCTATGTCTTGCCTGAGGCAGCCCTGGGGCAGGTTCACTATTGATTCGGTGAGGCCCAGAAATGGAACACTCTTGGGGTAAAAGGGTTTCTACCCAGCTTTATTCTCCCTGTGATAGGTCGAGCACTAGAATCATGTCTGCATCCAGCAGCCTGCAGGTCTATAACCCACCTCTGTCTGTCTCTGCCTCTGCCTCTGCCCAGAGCACCGGAAGGAGCTCTTTATACAGTGACCCTGTCAATAAAAGCTCATTGCCTACAGCTGTGGAAGCAGTAGCCTAGCAGTAGGCCAATTACATCATCAAGTACTTTAGGGTCAGGTGAGGATCTGGCCACAGGAGCTTTCATTTTCCCTACAGTCTGCTCGTTGTGCATTTGAGATCTCTCACCATAATGGGAATTTTATCCAGTTCTCTTATTTTTCTAATATTCTTATTTTTACGTATCTGTTATGTATTTTTGACTACAGAATCTTCTTCATCAATGTTGCCTTTTATATCACATCCTTTAACAACTTTATCACTTTCAATGTTTAATTCTAATACTTTCTTTTTCCATGGCCATTTCCTTAGTTGTTCATTGGCCATCCTTTTATTTTTATTTGTGTCTTTGTTCTAAACAGAATATAAATAAGTACACCTTTTAACACTTTATTTTGAAAAACTTTAAATAGCCATTAAAATTGCAAGAGGAGAATAACAAACAGTAGATTCACCAGCTGTAACATTTTGCCACATTTGTTCTCTCTCCTTTCTCCCTCTCATTTTCCCGTGTGTGTGTGTGTGTGTGTGTGTGTGTGTGTGTGTGTGTGTGTGTGTGTGTGTTGTCTGAACCATTTAAGAGATGGCTGCAGATATTTTAACCATTCACCCTCCTAAATACTGCAGGAAAGATAACTGATATAAAACTATTATCTCATAAATAGTTTATATCCAAATTTAAATAATTTTATAACACTATCCTATCTATAGTAATTTTTTTCCTAATCCTGGATCACTCTTATACATTGTATGTAGTTGTCCTATCTCTCTGGTCTCCTTTAATCTTGAGCAATTTCTCCAGATTCTTAACTCCTGAGACTGAGCTCAGGTCCTGGCCAAGCTCTGGGTGGAGAAGGCACCACAGCACCCTCACCTTCTCATCAGCCAGTGACCTATTAGCACAGGTTCCCTTTGATTCTGAAGAGGCAGAAAGGTCTGGAGATGGAGGAGAGAGGAAAGGTCTAGAATTCAGACTGCTCTGATCCCAGAAACACTCCTAAAGATTATTTTAGGAACTGTATCTACTATCTTTAATTTAAATGACAATTTCATAAAAAAAAACCTCACTAGCTCCCTATAGCTATGGCATATATAGAGATAAATAGATTACCAGGATTGGAATAGACACTTTGTATGTCAGATAAATATGATATATTATAGGAGGTAGGAACTGTCATGTCACTCAGTCACAAAGATTTAAAGTTGAAAGGGACCTTTGGGATCATCTAGTTTTTCCTCATGTTTGTATCCCCAGGACCTGGCATATAGAACTTCAATGAATATTAGATGGATGAAAGGGTACATAACAGAATGAATGGATGAATGAGTGAAGACTCTGCCAGTACTACATATATGACTCTGGACACCTTCTTCTTCTATAGAATGACTGGGAAACAAAGGTAAATGACACTGTCCTTTGAGCTCTTAATGCACAGGCTGATTAAGGAGACAAACATGTAAAGAGATCATATAAATAATGTGACAAAAGGCCATCATGAATGAATTTGGATTCTGGATGAACAATGTGGGTGCCTGTGCCCTGTTTTTTCCTGGTTCTCCCTCCCTCCTCCCTGCCAACATTGGTCATATGGGCCCCCACTGGCATGGAGAAAGTTTTCCCATGCCATGTGGTTCACAAACACTGAATGGTTTCCTCTGCGCAAACAACTGACTTGGCAAAGACCTGAGGCCCTGCTGCCCTGTAAGAAGCTCATATTCACACAAGCAGATGCCTACCATTCCCAGCCTACTTGTTCTGCTTTTAACATCCCCTCTTCCTTGCCCCTAACAGTCTCCACCACCCAGAGAAAGGTGAGGGGGCTCCAGGGTGGGAAAGAGAGAGCCACTAGAATAAAAGTGAACAAATGCATAAGTTACTCCTGAGAGTTCTTGCCCTTGATCCCTTAGATTCTGGGTTTACTTGGAAGGTGGATGGTGGAAGTGCACAGTGCCTATTAGGCCCTGCCTCTAGAACAAGAGTGGTGAAAACTGATTCCCGAACAGGCTCCCTACCATTCAATGCTGTTTCAATGTGGCCACTGCTTGGGACAAACACAGGCCAAAGGTAAATGGAATCCTAAGCTCAGAAAGAAAATACTGCAGACTTTGCCAAAGCAACATAAACACATCTCACTCCACCCCCACTCTGCCATTTGCCTAAATTGTTTATTTTATTATGTGGGTATTGAACAATGGGTGACAACTGCTTCTCAAAGTTGGATGTCATGGAGACTTACCTGAACAATAGTACCAGTGCAATACTAATTTCTTTTATGCCAGTTGCATTAATGAGCATTTCACAGAACACTTTTTTTAATGGCTAAAAGATTCTGGTATGAAGCCTGGTATCTTTTAGAGCCCATCTCTTCCCACCCAAACCTTCCCTCTGACCTCTGATTGTCATTTTCCCTTAAACCTCTGAAAGGACACAAACTGTTACAGAGCCTTTGCCAATAGTGGATTTCCCTGTGAGTCCCTCTGTCTCACTTAAAATGTGGAATTAATGATATTGGGGTCTCCTTACTACCTCAAAAGTACATCTCTAGGAACCATCAGATGAAGCCTACTAAAGTAAAGCCACTACAGTTCATTACAAGGAAAGGTCTGGAGATTCCCAGCCAGAAAATGCAACAGAGGTGGGCTGCTCAGCATGGGGAGGCACACATTTAGGTCTCAAGGCTCAGCCACTCCTAATGGGTTCCTGCTCTCCGGCCTTTCTTTCACAACTCTGACAACTCCTGTGTTAACTGGGTTTTCTGAATCTTCAGAGGAATAAATGGCACAAATGACAGCTCATAAAACTGACTTTCTATAAATCACTTGTGTTTTCAAATATTTTAAATTCCCTTAACAAAATATACAAAAATAAGTTTATAACCACTAACTGCCTTACGTGAAAGGGCAGAGCACAATTTGATGTCTTAGGACACAGGGAAGGCGAAAGTGGAATATGAAGAGACAGGAGAGCAGACGGGGTTGGGAGGGATGATGCATGGCCCCAATCTGTCCCAGGGCCACCAGCCCATGCACCAGACCGGCATGCCCAGCTTTAGAAGAAAAATGGAAAATTCTTCCCTTCCTAATTCTCTTGACATAGACTTTCAGGGCAATCCTAGCTTTGCTAAGTATACAGTATTTTAGATGGACTGGAAGAAACATTGGCGGTTTCAATATAAGAATGTTTGTGCTTAGGTTCTGAGATATTTGGACCCTACACTTCATCACCAGCTAACACATTGTACATGGTAAGCTTCCTGCTTGCAAGCTACCTGTCCTGCTTCTTCTTCATCTGTGTAGCTATGGCCATCTGGTTTTCATCCTCAGGCAGTTCTTTAGCTTCAGCCTCAGAATTAGGCTCAGTTTCTTTCCAGGGAAGCTGCTGTGTATCTCCTCGAGATATAACTAGCACATAGCTTAGGCCACTTTTCATAAAAAGAACAAAATCTTCAAAGTCAGGCTACAAAATAAAATGATAAATGGCTTACTTCTGGCTCCTGAAACAGACAGACTAGATAGTAGTCACTACCAGGTCAGGGGACACCTTCCCCTTCGTGACCACTAGGAGACAGAACGTCATCTTTATAAGCCTCCTGTTCACAAACATATCTTGAAAGGAAAGAAATTTGCAGCTAGCAAGAATTTATCTTAAAGATAGTTAATAACAACTCTCTAACTTGAGGATGTTTCCATATCATTAGGAGGGATTGTTAAAACCCAGATTTCTGTAGTCCAATCCCAGAGTCTGTGATTCATGGGTTTTGAGTGGGGCCCTGGAACTGGGTTTTCTCAAAAGTTCCCAGGCAATGCTGATGCAATTGGTGCAACACTTTCCTGGGGCCAGAAGAGATGGTTTGAGTGGTGTAACTAGTTTAGAGTGGTGTTCAGTAGAACTTTCTATGCTAACAAATACATTCTGTGTTCTGCAGCATATGTAGATACATGCAGCTATTGAGTACTTGAATTGTGGCTAGCATTACTGAGATTCTGACCTTTAAATTTAATTTTAATGAATTTAAATTCAAATGACCACATATTAATGGCTACCATTTTGCATAGTACATTTCTAGAAGCTATGTCTCCTGACCCCCAAGCCAGTGTCCTTTCTAACACAGCACTTCCTTACCATATTCCAACAGGCAAAAAAGAAGTTTAAAAACAGGTTGAGGGAAAGGCCTTTAGGTAAAGAAAGGATTAAAGCTTGCCTATGAAGTTCATGATAAGGGGCCTTCAGCCTGGGATAAAAATCTACAGGAAAGGCCTGGATATTTACTTCCAGAGGGATGAGGGAGGGAGTTTGAGAGGAGAGGATGTAACATAAAGAGGTCTGCACAATAAAACACAATAAGATGGTCCACTTTGCTTGGCTGCCACAATTTCTACTGGCGATTTCTCCATAACCACCATCTTTGGCATTACCATGATATGGACACCAACAGAGACACCTGGAGCTTATTTGGTTAGTCAGACTTATTCATATGCTTTTCTATAATGAAGGTCTAAAACTTATAGGAATCCACTGTCTTTGAAAACACAATTGTTTTTTAACTTTCTTACCTGGTCTGCTATTCGAATATAGAAGTCTCTTACTTGTTTGTCAGTGAGCATTCTCTTATCCTCTGCTTCTATGACAAATCCTGCCTTGACAATCTTTGATTCAAGAGGAAGGTCAGATCCAGATGTGTTGTGGGACCACATGTAAAACAAGTCAAGGACATTTGTTTTCTAGGCTCTTAACAGACCAACCAGATTTGAGGGCATCTCATGTGAAGACCTCAGCACAAACCATATGGCACCAGGTTTGAAGGCGCTCAAAAATGTAGATACAAAGAAGGCTTTCTCCTGCCCCCTAATATTCAAGTTTTCAAGGCTTGAACCAGAGACTCCACAATATTTTTATTATTTAAGTAAATGGCCTGAGAATGTGAAAAAATTAACTGAATTCCAAGGAAAGAAATCATAGCTTTCTGAATCATTCAGGAAGACATAAATTTACAAGCACTTCTTAACCATCTATTTTCAAAATTGTTTCAACTTTCTTATTGCATAAGACTTTACTCTGTTAAGACCCTAACTCAGAATCCAATGTATTTTATTACTCTCATAGCAACAAAAATGCCCAAATTATGGGGAAAGATACAATTTAAGATTTAACCATGCTTTACTTGTCTTAAAAATCTGATTTAATGACAAAATCAGTCTGCATGTCAGTGTATAAAATATAACAAAAAGAAGTTTTGAGGAAAATATGACAAGTCCAATGAAGTATTAAACAATTCAGTGTAAGTGTAATCTGAATTAAAAATAATCAGTAATTACATTAAGTGATACTAATAATTTGAGCTCAATTTGATTGGAGTACATCCGGCACCAAGTTCTTTCTGCTTCTGTGATGAAACAAACCCTGTACTGATTCAACTGGCTTTGTTGATATTGTAGAGCATTCCTTACATTTCAGTGACCCTCCTAAATGAAATTCCAATTTGAACAATTTCTAAAATATTCAAATCATGTCTTTGTTAAGTTACTAGTGCCTGGCAACAGAAAACAAAAACTGAACAATAGTACCAGTGCAATACTAATTTCTTTTATGCCAGTTGCATTAATGAGCATTTCACAGAACACTTTTTTTAATGGCTAAAAGATTCTGGTATGAAGCCTGGTATCTTTTAGAGCCCATCTCTTCCCACCCAAACCTTCCCTCTGACCTCTGATTGTCATTTTCCCTTAAACCTCTGAAAGGACACAAACTGTTACAGAGCCTTTGCCAATAGTGGATTTCCCTGTGAGTCCCTCTGTCTCACTTAAAATGTGGAATTAATGATATTGGGGTCTCCTTACTACCTCAAAAGTACATCTCTAGGAACCATCAGATGAAGCCTACTAAAGTAAAGCCACTACAGTTCATTACAAGGAAAGGTCTGGAGATTCCCAGCCAGAAAATGCAACAGAGGTGGGCTGCTCAGCATGGGGAGGCACACATTTAGGTCTCAAGGCTCAGCCACTCCTAATGGGTTCCTGCTCTCCGGCCTTTCTTTCACAACTCTGACAACTCCTGTGTTAACTGGGTTTTCTGAATCTTCAGAGGAATAAATGGCACAAATGACAGCTCGTAAAACTGACTTTCTATAAATCACTTGTGTTTTCAAATATTTTAAATTCCCTTAACAAAATATACAAAAATAAGTTTATAACCACTAACTGCCTTACGTGAAAGGGCAGAGCACAATTTGATGTCTTAGGACACAGGGAAGGCAAAAGTGGAATATGAAGAGACAGGAGAGCAGACGGGGTTGGGAGGGATGATGCATGGCCCCAATCTGTCCCAGGGCCACCAGCCCATGCACCAGACCGGCATGACCAGCTTTAGAAGAAAAATGGAAAACTCTTCCCTTCCTAATTCTCTTGACATAGACTTTCAGGGCAATCCTAGCTTTGCTAAGTATACAGTATTTTAGATGGACTGGAAGAAACATTGGCGGTTTCAATATAAGAATGTTTGTGCTTAGGTTCTGAGATATTTGGACCCTACACTTCATCACCAGCTAACACATTGTACATGGTAAGCTTCCTGCTTGCAAGCTACCTGTCCTGCTTCTTCTTCATCTGTGTAGCTATGGCCATCTGGTTTTCATCCTCAGGCAGTTCTTTAGCTTCAGCCTCAGAATTAGGCTCAGTTTCTTTCCAGGGAAGCTGCTGTGTATCTCCTCGAGATATAACTAGCACATAGCTTAGGCCACTTTTCATAAAAAGAACAAAATCTTCAAAGTCAGGCTACAAAATAAAATGATAAATGGCTTACTTCTGGCTCCTGAAACAGACAGACTAGATAGTAGTCACTACCAGGTCAGGGGACACCTTCCCCTTCGTGACCACTAGGAGACAGAACGTCATCTTTATAAGCCTCCTGTTCACAAACATATCTTGAAAGGAAAGAAATTTGCAGCTAGCAAGAATTTATCTTAAAGATAGTTAATAACAACTCTCTAACTTGAGGATGTTTCCATATCATTAGGAGGGATTGTTAAAACCCAGATTTCTGTAGTCCAATCCCAGAGTCTGTGATTCATGGGTTTTGAGTGGGGCCCTGGAACTGGGTTTTCTCAAAAGTTCCCAGGCAATGCTGATGTAATTGGTGCAACACTTTCCTGGGGCCAGAAGAGATGGTTTGAGTGGTGTAACTAGTTTAGAGTGGTGTTCAGTAGAACTTTCTATGCTAACAAATACATTCTGTGTTCTGCAGCATATGTAGATACATGCAGCTATTGAGTACTTGAATTGTGGCTAGCATTACTGAGATTCTGACCTTTAAATTTAATTTTAATGAATTTAAATTCAAATGACCACATATTAATGGCTACCATTTTGCATAGTACATTTCTAGAAGCTATGTCTCCTGACCCCCAAGCCAGTGTCCTTTCTAACACAGCACTTCCTTACCATATTCCAACAGGCAAAAAAGAAGTTTAAAAACAGGTTGAGGGAAAGGCCTTTAGGTAAAGAAAGGATTAAAGCTTGCCTATGAAGTTCATGATAAGGGGCCTTCAGCCTGGGATAAAAATCTACAGGAAAGGCCTGGATATTTACTTCCAGAGGGATGAGGCAGGGAGTTTGAGAGGAGAGGATGTAACATAAAGAGGTCTGCACAATAAAACACAATAAGATGGTCCACTTTGCTTGGCTGCCACAATTTCTACTGGCGATTTCTCCATAACCACCATCTTTGGCATTACCATGATATGGACACCAACAGAGACACCTGGAGCTTATTTGGTTAGTCAGACTTATTCATATGCTTTTCTATAATGAAGGTCTAAAACTTATAGGAATCCACTGTCTTTGAAAACACAATTGTTTTTTAACTTTCTTACCTGGTCTGCTATTCGAATATAGAAGTCTCTTACTTGTTTGTCAGTGAGCATTCTCTTATCCTCTGCTTCTATGACAAATCCTGCCTTGACAATCTTTGATTCAAGAGGAAGGTCAGATCCAGATGTGTTGTGGGACCACATGTAAAACAAGTCAAGGACATTTGTTTTCTAGGCTCTTAACAGACCAACCAGATTTGAGGGCATCTCATGTGAAGACCTCAGCACAAACCATATGGCACCAGGTTTGAAGGCGCTCAAAAATGTAGATACAAAGAAGGCTTTCTCCTGCCCCCTAATATTCAAGTTTTCAAGGCTTGAACCAGAGACTCCACAATATTTTTATTATTTAAGTAAATGGCCTGAGAATGTGAAAAAATTAACTGAATTCCAAGGAAAGAAATCATAGCTTTCTGAATCATTCAGGAAGACATAAATTTACAAGCACTTCTTAACCATCTATTTTCAAAATTGTTTCAACTTTCTTATTGCATAAGACTTTACTCTGTTAAGACCCTAACTCAGAATCCAATGTATTTTATTACTCTCATAGCAACAAAAATGCCCAAATTATGGGGAAAGATACAATTTAAGATTTAACCATGCTTTACTTGTCTTAAAAATCTGATTTAATGACAAAATCAGTCTGCATGTCAGTGTATAAAATATAACAAAAAGAAGTTTTGAGGAAAATATGACAAGTCCAATGAAGTATTAAACAATTCAGTGTAAGTGTAATCTGAATTAAAAATAATCAGTAATTACATTAAGTGATACTAATAATTTGAGCTCAATTTGATTGGAGTACATCTGGCACCAAGTTCTTTCTGCTTCTGTGATGAAACAAACCCTGTACTGATTCAACTGGCTTTGTTGATATTGTAGAGCATTCCTTACATTTCAGTGACCCTCCTAAATGAAATTCCAATTTGAACAATTTCTAAAATATTCAAATCATGTCTTTGTTAAGTTACTAGTGCCTGGCAACAGAAAACAAAATTCAAGCAACATTTAAACCAGATAACTTCTCCTTTACTATAGTTGAAAAATTCAGTGTGTTCACTTCCTTTTTATCCAAATCATTCTTTATTTTTTCTGCCTTGTTTGCTATGTAGCCTTTTACTATATATATCCACAGAGGTGGAGTAGTTGGGAGACATTCATAATTTACATCTCTGAAATGTTATTTACTGTGTGAAAACAAAAAAAAATTAACATAGGAACAGTATTGACTCAACTAAAAGAGCCATGTAATTTTTTAAATCTTTACTATTGTAGCTATTAAAATGTATTCAAATAAGGACTGTAAACCATTGGCATGTGATATGATTTTTGAAAACTTTACAAAATTTAACAAAACTTTACAAAACTTTACAAAAAAACTAAAACAAATATATTGGGGGGAGGTACAACTTGTATCCCCACCCGCCTACATACACACCAGAATCTGGAAGAAAAGGGCTATTCTTAGAGAGTGATACTAATTAAATCAACTCATAATTGGAAGGGAGAGTATATGTACAATGACCATGGACCATCTGCTTTATTGTAGTTTAATCAATGATAATGTTGCCAGACTTAAAGAAAGAATGCATGTTGCAAAGTTCATCAAGAGATATCCAACCTTTCCTGACACAGCTCCCTATGTGATCTCCTATATTGCACGTGTAACATTTTTTTCAAATTTTAATATACTTTTGTTGTTTCCATAAATAGTCACTGTACAGGGCTCAGCAAACTACAGCCTACAGTCAAAATCTGGCCAGCCCCCATTTTTGGAAATAAAGTTTATTGGAACAGAAACATAGCCATTTCTTTACATACTATCTATGGCTGCTTTCTCCATATGATGGCAGAGTTAAGCATCTGTGGCAGAGATCATATGCCCCCAAATATGAAAATTGTTACTATCTGACCCTTCACAGGAAGAGTCTGCTGACCTTTGGATCAAAATGCAATTTACATCTAAAAAAATTTATTCCCACTTTAAAACAAAACATTAAATGCTTTCTTAAGCTATCATGTATATATTCTTTTTATAAAGGAACATATATTTGTGACAACATGCAGGGGATAAAGCAAGCTTATAACAAGTTTGCATTGCTCATAACTAAACACGACGAACATTTGTTACAATCCAGTATAAGAACTATAATTTTTATCATTTATATTAGATGCTGGTAGAGCAAAGTTATTTAAATAAGGATGCCTGAATAGCTCTAACCTTGGTAAAGTTCTTAGAGGGACCTATCACCAGAAGTTCATTATGTTCTATTTTACTATAAATGATAAGCTTGTCTCCAAATTGACAATTAAGGGGTTGTTATTTTGTAGCTTAGTGTTGTTGGAAAATATTACTTACTTTTTCTTTAATTTCTAGAGCTTTTCTAGAAATCACAGCATCAGGTTTAATGATAGCAATAATGTGAAGTGGCTCTAGGGAAAAAAAAGAAGAATTTAATTTTCGTGACACAAAGTCTAAGTAATAAAAGACTTGGCAATTAGAAATGTGAACTACTAATATTCAGTGAAATTTTGTCCATTGACAGCTTTATTCTTTTTTACACCATTTCAACAACCAAAGAGTTTCTACTTAAAATCAAAGTGCAGTTCCTATGTTTGCAAGCAGGACAGTCACAAGAGTTTGCAGTCAATAAGCAAAAAACAATGAGTAGGTGGGTGCTAGTTATTTTAACACAATTCACTTGCCTTAGAATCACACCCATGATCCATTCAGCTCACTATCACTGGTGAGTAGTTTTAGTGCAAGCAACCATTACCAACTGATGGATTTATCATCTACAGATTCATCCACATTATCTACACATACTCAGGCTGAGCTTTTAGTGCAAGCTAGCTCACTGAGCACACTGTTTGCACCTGCTCCCTTCAGAGTATGAATGCACACTCACATACCTACACCGACATTCCAGTGAACGCAGGAAATTGTCACCTGGAAAGTAAGCCAGGAATGTGGATCATCAAGGAAGAAATTGTTTTCACAAGTTTTTGGATGATGATAAAGGATGAAATAAGAGCAAGCTGCTGTCCAGATTACTCACAGGGGACTAATGAGACCAGGAGCTTCTGGTCCTGGGTAACCTCTGAAAGGCTACAGGCACAGAGAGCAAAGAGAAAGCAGGGGGAGCAGAAGAGGCTGCTTATTAGCAGCCAAGTCTAGTGCTGCACAGATCATCATTTATCCTGCCAGTCCCTTATCAGTTAACATGGATGTCATTACCCACTTTTCTGCAGCTAACTCTGTAATGAACATCCATGTACACAAATCTTTGCCATTACCTTAAAGTAAATTTACTTACCAACATTTTCATAGGGTGCTTCCCCAGCATCTTCTGTATCTGAGTCTACAAATGCAATTTCCTGATACTATGGAAAAGAAATGCAAATCAAAGTTATATTTTAATACGAAAGGGTTTTTAGAAATTTTGTTCCTAATAAACATTTATAACCCAAGGGATAGAAGGTGAAGTGGAAATGTGCCTGCATTTAACTAACACTACTTTTCCCAAGCTTTCCACTGAAATAAAATAAGGAGTATTTAAAATGGTTGGGATGAGAAGAGATCAAGAATAATGTATATATGCTATGTGGAAAACAGGTAAAAATAAAAAAACTTAAAACCTAAGATGTGCACAAGGAATAAAATGAGAAAGAAGCAGAAATTAACAAGTAAGAAAGCAAAAACTCCTAAGTATGTTACAGATCAAAAGGGCATTTGATAAGTTTTAAGATCTCTTCCTGACCATTACTCTTAGTAGCCTAGGAACAGAAAGACACCACCTTAACTTATAAAAAAATGTCTTGCTCAAAATAATAGCCTATTTCCTACTATAGAGTAAAACACTAGGAAGGATGAGAGAGTCTTCATTTCTTGAGAACTCTGAAAGTGCTTCTGTAATCCTGTGAACTAGCTGAAGATTTATGTATTTACATATATACATCTTCTGGCAAACGAATGCCTCATTTCAAATTCTCAATGAACTAAAGACCCAACAATGTTTGACAATAACTGTACTGTAAGCACCTAATCTTATCATAATCAGAAATAAGATAATTATACCAGCTCTAACTCAGATTGAACTGACCTTGTGTTTGCTGGACCTGTACTGGCTAATGGGCCTGCCACTAACCATGTAAGACTAAGCACTCCAGATGAAGGAAGTCCAAATTAAGATGTGTCATAAATGGAAAATACACAGCACATTCCAAAGACCACTTAATCTTTTTAAGCCTTGTCTAACCATTTGTAAATATCTTCTAGGATTTCTTAAGGTTCCTGTTCAAGATTGCAACACAGAAGGCTCCTGAACTCACCTCCTCCCATGGACACACCAAATCTACAGTAGCGTAATGGAAAAATTCCCTCAGAAAGAAGTCCAGAAAATAGCTAAGTGATTCCTACACATCAGGCAAATGAGAAAAAATGTTTTGCACTGGGTTGGAGAGGTTGAGACACCATTTTGCCATGAACTTTGCCCCCACCACAGGGAGGGAACTCACACCTCCCTGAGGAGTCAAGGGTTTGGATCCAACATCTAGTAACCCAAATTTAAAACTTCCAACTGAGAGATGGACCCTCAAAATGCCAGCTCTGAAAGCCAGCTGGGGCTTGTGCCCATGAGACCACGAGTCCTTCACAGGCTGGGGAGGGATTGCTGGGGCCTCCTGCTAGGGCTCAGGGCAAGGGCAGCTGAATGGGGCACCCAGTTTCTCCTTGAAAGCTGGAGCCTGAGAGTCAAGCTCTTAATTTAACTCGGGTCTAGGGCCTTACTAAAATCCTCTGCAGAGACCAGGGAGGCCAGCAGGCACCAGCTCCACACTCTCCCTCTGCCCTGCTCCAGGTCACCCGTGTCTCCTTGGAGGATGCTTATACATTTGTCTGCACCCCCAGCTTTTGCAGCTGCTGCCTAGGAGATGAACTCTTTGGTCGCCTCACTCAGTGACCAGCAGAGCTTGCACATGGATATACCACTGCAGCAAACAATGAAATAGTTCTTGACAGGCTACCCACATCCTGACCCTGGGCGAAGCAGAGAAGCAGCAGTCAGAGTCACCTAACTCCCAATATTTCCCTAAAGGAATCTTATTTGCATGTCTAGGGGCCTAAAGATCAGGATCCTAGTTTGACATATATCTAAGGGCCAAGTGCAATCCTCTCCAGAAACTGGGCAGGCTGGCAGGCACCATCTTCGCACTATCCCTCTGGCCTGCTTCAGTTCACTGGCACCAATGCAAAGATAGCTTGAACATACATCTGGCACATGGACTTTTGTGGCTCCTGCCCAGAAGACACATCCCTTGATAACCTGACTGTGGTGGCCAGCAGGGCTGGTATTCAAGGCTCAGCTGAACCAGCAATGGATAAGCTATCCAGACAGAAAACCAATAAGGAAACCTTGGACTTAAACTACATGTTAGACCAAATGGACTTAACAGACATTTACAGAACATTCTATCCAAAAGCACCATTCTTCTCAAGGGCACATAAAACATTCACAGGACACATTATATGTTAGACCACATCAAACATCTTTTCCAACCACAATGGTAGAAAACTAGAAATCAAACACAAGAACTGGAAAATTCACAAATATGTAGAGATTAAACACCATACCACCAAACAACCAATGAATCAAAAAAAAAATTAAGAACTACCTTGAAACAAATAAAAGTGGAAATGTAGCATGCTTATGGGATGCAACAAAAGAGCTCATAGAAGGGTAGCATTAAGAAAAAAGAAAGATCTCAAATAAGCAACCTAACTACATTTCAAGAAACCCAAAAAAGGAAACAAATGAAGCCAATGTTAGTAGAGGAAGGAAATAACAAAGATCACAGCATAAATAAATAAAATAGATAAAAGACCATGGAAAGCTGGTGTTTTGAAAAATAAACTAGATAAACTTTTAGCTGGATGCAGAAGAAAAGAGAGAAGACTCAAGTAAATAAAATTAGAAGTGAAAGAGGAGACATTGCAACCAGTATTACAGAAATACAAAGCAGCTTAAGACACCACTATGACCAGTTATGAACTCACCACCTCTAAGTTGTCTGCCCTCCCATGTTCACTGCTGCCTTATTTACAATAGCCAAGATATAGAAACAACTTCAGTGTCCAGCGGCAGATAAATGAATAAAGAAAATGGGATATTCAAAAAATACATATAATGTTATATTATCCATCTATTACCAAGAATGAAATCTTGCCATTGGAGACAACATGGATAGGCCTTGAAGGGATTATGCTAAGTGAAGTAAGTCAGACAGAGAAAGACCAATACTGTATGATTTCACTTATACTTGGAATATAAAAAAAATGAACCTGCAGATACAGGGAACAGAATGATGGTTGCCATAAGTGGTGGAAGTCAGGGAATTGGGTGAAGGTGCTCGAAAGATACAAACTTCCAGTTGTAAGATAAATAAGTTATGAGGATGGAATGTACAGCATAGTGACTATAGTTAACAATACTGCATTGTATATTGGAAAGTTGCTAAGAGATTCGATTTAAAAGTTCCCATCACAAGATAAAAATATAACTATGTGAGGTGAAAAATGTAAACTGAACTTAGTGTAGTAAGCATTTACAATATACACATGTATCAGATCATTATTCTATTCTTTAAATTAATACAATATTATTTGTTAATATAATCTCAAAAAAACTGGTAAGGAAAAAGATTTCTGTAAGTATTAAATAAGGACATTTGTTTGAAAATCTTAGCAAACAGTAAGTCCTCAATAATTCTTAGTGTTTATAATTTTCAAAAAGAAGCAGGAGGAGCAGAAAGAGAGAAGGAGACAGAAGAAAATGGAATCAATTCCCTAAAAAACAAGAAAACCTGAAAAAGTAAAGAAAAATGTCCTTGGATGAGAAAAATCCCTATTATAAATGTAAATTCCCCATATTTGTCATTTGTCAGTTTCCATCAAAATGTTCATTTTTTTCTACAGGTTCATAAAATACTTTGTACACACTTTGGATATTATCACATTGACACATAGTGCAAGAATTTTTCCCAGTTTACTGCTTTCCTCCTACATTTTAGGGTATACTTCAAAGTTTGAAATAATCAAATCTATCAATTTTTTCTCATTTGATATCTCTGTTTTGTGTTATGCTTACAAGGCCTTCCTCAACCTGTAACAATATGTTTGCCAATATTTTCTTCTAATACTTTTATGCTTTGTTTTTTCATATTCAGCTCTTTAATTCATCTGTAATTTATTTACATATATGATATGAAGAAACAATACAGTTTTCTTACACAAATAGCCCATATTGCTAAACCTGCTAATTGAATTTTTATCCTATCCTGGTTTAAACTGACACTTTTTATAGCAAGTACTTATGCAAACTTGAGCCTATACTTTCATTATTTCTCTTTTTTCAATATTTCTTGGCTTGTCTCCACTTTGTTTCTTAAATTCATGCTTTTTCTTTTTGTTGTTATTTGTTTGGTGTGTGTGTGTGTGTGTGTGTGTATTTCAATAGTACCAGTTGCTTCTATTTATCTGCCTATATTCTGATCACTTTGTGTGGCTTGTTTTCTTAAGCTACTTTGTTCATACCTGCAAATGCTTTATGTATCATTTCTTAATTTTCAAGTATTTCATATCTTATTATACAGGTAATACACTTCACACACACAGGATCTTATTCCAAGTATCCTCTTAGAGTGTATTCTTTTCTTAATCTTGTCCCTCGTTCTATATCAGAGCTAGAACACTAGAATATTATCACTGGATAATATTCCATTGCATGGATTTGTATAAACCACAGACATTTTAGGTAATCTATTCACTGTTGCTGGACATTTAGGTTGAGTCTACATTTTTAAAAACATGGACAACACTGCAATAAACATCCTTTTCTATTTTTGTCTCATTATTTTCTTAGGGAAAATTATTAGAGTACAATTATTCAAATAATATAATTTATATGTTTTTAAAGGCCTTTGATTCAAATTGCCAAAATACTTCCTAGAAAGTTTACACCATTGAGACATCTAGATGGTTATAAAGTTAGGTAAAATGCTTTAGGAAAACAACAAAACAGATGTAATTTTTTCTTTAACGTAGGAATCCAAAGTATTACCTGAGGGCGATCCATTTCACCTGCTGCAATTTTCTTCTCCTCATTGATCAAGCTAATAACTTTTTGATTAACAAGTGGTACATTCGCACCTTTAATTTTTGCAATAATTTTGCCATCCTTTGGGGGAAAAGAAAGAATGAAGGAACTTTCATTTTCAGGGTAAGTTAAGACTTCAACAGGACTAAGTCATCCCACCCTGCCCCATGCCCCCAACAATACTTTCAGCTATTATTATTAGCTCTTTTAAAATAAGGCACTAGTGATGTGAAAATATACATTGATTTGGTGAACCCAGATCTTCAAGTTCTATATATTCCAATTTGTCCTCCCATGACCAAAGGCAAGGCATCCCTACATTATATTTTAACGGCTCTGAATGGCCCTCCCAACACTGCCTTCTCTAATTATGCTCAACACTATGCCCTTTTGTCTGTCTGTCAACACATACTTGCCAGAAGTCTGTTTATGGGCATAGTACCAAGCATGGTGGTATGGAATAATAGGCCTGGTACCTGACGTGATTAAAATACAGAAAACAAAACAAAAACGAGACAACCCATGGACAAACACATGTGAAAAACCAACCACGATAGGTTTCACGAAGAGAAACACAAAGCCCTGAGAGCATCCACAGGACTGTCCTGGTCAAGGAGACCACCAAAGGTACTTACCAACATCAGGAAGGGAATCTGGGTTGAAAATCTGAAAGACGGGTAAGAGATAACTAGGAAAATCGAGGAAGAGCATTCGAGGCAAAAGGAGCAAAGATGCAAAGGTCCTAAGGCTGAAGGGAATACGGCAAACAAGGCCAGAGTGAGGGGACACCTGGTATGGTAAAGGGCTTGAAAGGAAGAGTTTGAGCCACGTGCCAAGGTCTTCAGCATCTATCTGAAAACGAGTAAATGACAGCAGTGAGGGGTAGGGAAGGAGGTTAGCTGAAAAGAGTGGATCTCTAATTAGCAAGAAAAAAAAAAGTTATTGAAGTAAGAAGAGTAAAGGGAACGTCAGTTCAACTGATGACCTCAAAAAACATAATCCAAGAAAACAGTCACCACTCCGGGCTGCAGAGAAAAATGTCCTAAGTTAGGAGTCATATTTAAGGAAAGCCAAGGGGGTGGAGCAAAAGCTCAAAGATGTGGTTAAGGATACTGGGTTAAGGATATTTCATCATACTGGTACTTCCATCAGTTCCAGATGCTGCAGAGTGAAAGGGTTTGAAAGAGAGGAAGAATTGAACCATCAGGAAAAGAAAATTCTGAAGCATTAGAAGGAGGGCCATGCATGGCAGGGAGGAAGAATGGACTTAAACTTTAGACATTGATTGCAGGTAAGACACTGGGGACTAGATGGTCAATTTAAGGAGAGCGGGCATGGGTCTACGGATCAAACCTGAGCAGACTGACAGGCGATGACCATCCCAGAGTGTCCACCTGCCCAGTCTTTCTTCCTCAACCACATGCCCTGCCACTGCTGCTAGAGCCCCCTCCTTGTTCTGTTAGCCTACCAAGCCCATCTCGGCCTCTGCGCAGTTACTCATCCTGGTTCCCTAAACTATGTCTAGGCCAGGGGTCAGAAAACCATGACCCACTACAGAAAGTGTATTTCAGCAAAGCTGAAAATACTTATCTAGCCCTTTACAGCAAATGCTGGCTGACCTCTCATCTAAATCATCAAATTCTACAACTCCAACTTAGAGCAATGTAATTTTTTAAATTCAGTTCCTTGGTATGGATATAGTTGGAAGGGTATTATTTAACAGGGGCAAAAGTTGGAGCCAATAAGTGTTTTAAAATCATTATTTCTAATATTAAAAAAAATGATGAACTGTCCCACAGCATAGGGATAGACCAAGCTCCCTCTGCGAAGGTTTTCCTTACTGTCCTGTTTCTTCAGTTGTGTCACAGCTAGACTTCGTGTCACACAATTTAGTGCCTAAATACTCTCCTTTTAGAAAATGGCACTTATGTTTTTCTGATTATTAAAGTTGTGTGTTCATCACAGAATATTTGGGAAAAATAGAAAAGTAGAAAGTAGAAAACTTAAATTATGCATCCTTCTTCCATATATAGAAAACTACTATGAACAATTTGGTGAATGATCTTCCTGTCTTCTATGCATTTGTCAGTACAGAGATAAGAGCATATATAATACAAAATAGTGATCATATGGATATTTCCTTGTATTGATATACATGAATATTTATAACCAATTCTCTACTACTGGGTATCTAAGAAATTTCCAATTTTTCAGTCCTGCAAAAAATGATTCATCTTACATGGACCTAGAGGGTATTATGCCAAGTGAAGTATGTCAGACCAAGAATGACAAATACTGTATGATTACACTTATATGTGGAATCTAAAAAACCAAACAAATAAAACAAAAATAGACCCATAGACACAGAGAACAGACTGTCGGTTGCCACAGGAGAGGAAGTGCAAAGAAGGGCCAAAAAGCTGAAAAAAGAGAAAAAAATTAAAATGTTCGCTATCTTGATCTAGATGATGGTTACATGAGTGTATATGCATGCCAAAATTCATTAAGCTGTACACTAAAATTTCTGCATTTCACAAAAATAAGTAAATACATTTAAATGAAAAAAATAATGCATCACATAAATCTCTGATTGTTTCCTTAGGAAAGGTAAATGCCATCTTATTTTTCTTTTCCTTGATCAACTCAGTGTGTGGTAATTTAATTTCCTCAGCCCATTATGAGGTCTGAGGTATGTTTTGAGTCTTAGAAGTTAAGTTATGACATGTATTAGTAGACAAAGATAAAGCAAGAAAAACCTACAACTATCAAATTATCACCAAAAAACATAGTAGTTTTACAATGCTACATACTTTTTAACTGTAAATTGGAATCTGATTATACATTTGAAACAATATACTTACGACACTGAAGAGAAAAACAGGCTCACATTTATCTCTAAATGGCTGCAAAGTCACAATGCTGTCAGCTTCTGCCTGAAAAAAAATTGTCATTTAATAATAAAGGAAACTATACCCAAGTCATTTGTTTTCTGAGTATGATACAGGCATCTTAAGGCTCAAATACTGGCAGGTCCTGCCTCATCTGGCCTCAACCTTACTTCTTACTTTTCATCTTTATGGCTCAAACTGTTGCTAAACTCGTCTCCTTGTAAGGGTTTACTATGTACCACCATGCTTTCCTCCCTCCTGACCTGCTCTTTGCCCTTCCTTTTCCAACCCAGCTCAAGTATCCAAGAACTCTTGTCTTCCCCCTTCCTGCTGCAAATCTTCTCCTACTCCACAAAGCACTGCCCCTTTCTCCGGGCCCCTGGTGTCCCTTGCAACACTGCACTACTGTTAGATGAGCCTATCTCATTTCCTCTGTTGCAAGGAGAGCTATTTGCACGGGTAGATGAGAGTTCATGTTCATCTTTGCACGTCACCCCGCCCCCTGCATCAGTCACAGGGCCATGCGTAGAACAGGGACTCACTGAGTGCTCCTTGAATGAATTGTTGTCAAATGTCCAAATCTTTGATTTTTATTTTATAAATAAATTGTATTTTATTTTATGTTTGCAATTTTCTTAAATTTTTGTGATAGATTCAAGTTGTCCTACATTGATTAAAAACAACTATATATCAAATAACAATGTGGAAACCAAGCCATCAGCCCTCAGAGGTTGTAATCTTTTCTTAACATACTGGATTCTATCAAATTTTCTTTTCTTTCCTTTTTTTTTTTAAGACGGTTCTGCTTTCAAAAAAAGGGAAAAGACTAAAAGGAAGTCATCTAAATTATTAAAGGACAGAAGTCAAAGATTACATTTAAAAGAAGTCTAGGTATCATCATTAGAATGTATGTAATAAAGTATCAACAATTAAAGTATTTAATAATATAAAAACTACAATAAATAATATTTGCTGAGTTTTTGTAAGTTAAAAGTAGAATGTTAGTACAAGTCTTCAAGTCTTTTAAAAGAGCACATAACAGAAAACTTATATTGACCATTCCACTTAGGGGGATTTCAATATGTAAATCAGCCTCATAGGTTTTCATTCTGGTCTTAAATTTACAAGTTCAGGAAAGGGCCCCTTTCCTGTGTTAACTGCAGAAAGTCAAATATCCAGTAGAGGGCGCCCTTCATTGCACCCAGTGAAGGATTGGCCACTGTACTAAATATTTTCACCTTTTATAAGCAGGTCATAGCAGAAAAACAGCATTAATCTATATGAATGCACTACTGTTGAGTGTGCTTAATTTACACATAACAGAGGAAAAAAACCACTCAGGGAAAACTCACAAATTTTGTTTCTGTTAAAATTCAACAGATACCGGTGTTATAAATAGGATATACTTTGGAAAGAATTTACCAACACTTCCCAGTGGGACAGATGTAGTAAGAGAACTGACTCCCTGTGAAGTCGGTTGAGGAATTCTGCTTGGTTGGGGTACCACTGGGAGGACACAGCCAGAAGCCTCTGGCACTGGGAGAAGCACTGGTAAGACTTGCCTCCTCACACAGCTCTGAGCTGTGAAAAAAGTGGGAACCCAACAATCTCTGTGGTCTAATTCTCTCCACATCCACTTCTCAGCCTGCACCTCAGCCTCTATCACTGTGTGCAACCCACACACATAGCCCAGGTTTTTTGCTGCTCAGACTCTATAAACAAGGAGGCATTTAATGACTCTAAACCACATGGGGACACAGCATCAAGTCACAGGTCCTCAGTGTCTAGGGACTTCTTGCTTTGCTTCCTTTCTTATGCCCAAGTTCCCTTCCAGATAGCATGACAGGTGAGCAGGGGGTCTCCTTCTTTAGTCTCTCCCCACTGACCCCGCTTTCCTTTTAGACCCCGGAGTTCCCCTGATCCCCAGCCCAGGCACTTGCACCCTACCACTTTGAGACAAACTTCCCTAATGCCAACTGCCAGGACTCACAAGAACTTCTGACCCTTGAACTCTGTGATTCATTTGCCAGCTGTTAGATCTTTCTGATGTGGTTTTTTAACTTTTTTTACCAACCCCTTGTCAACTGCATGTGCTAATCCCCTTTAGGCCCCACTCTCTGTGGTCTGAACTTAGTTCTTCCTCCCTGCCAAGGATCAAATCTCGAATCATATCCCATCTCCATTCAGATATTTCTGACTTTTCAGAGTGAAGCAGATTGTTATCAAATGCTGCCCTTTAAAAAACTGCAAGACCCTCATTCCAGAAGACAATGTCAGCCTCTGGACAAAAAGATGTAATGATTGTATATAACCACCCACTCTCTCGAAGACAAATAATAAGAAGAGGTGAGTTTCTAAGCAGCTTTAGACTGCTTGTTTGTAACCCTGAACTAAGAAAAAGAAGTCCTATAAAGAATGTATCTTCAGAAGGGGATGGATAGTCAAACAAAAGTTAAGGTCAGTAAACAAATTTTTTCCCAATGTCTGGGTTGGGAAGGGTCACCGAAATCTTGTGTACAGGAGAACATACAATGGTTCATGTCTATATCAGAGATTATGTGTGAATATAAGGAGTAAAAATAGGCAATCAGTTATCTGCTTCTGCATCTTAGGTCTAGTTGTTTTGCATGTGTTTCTGTCCAGTAGAAATAAAATGTGAACCAAATATATATATTTTTTATTCTCTAGTAACCACCTTTAAAAACTAAAAAGAAAAAGCTGAAAATACCATTAAAATATTTTTAACTTAATCCAAGATATCCAAAATATTGTCATTTCAACACGTAATCAAGGTAGAAAATTGTTGAGATAGTTCACATTCTTTTTTTCATACTAAGTCTTCAAAATCTACTGTGGATTTTATACTTAGAGTACATCTCAATTTGTAGGCTAAATTATAATCAGAAATAATTAATCTTCAATTAGATTTCTTAAAATTTATAGTCAAAAAAGTGGATTCACATGCCCAAATCGTCTCAAATAACTTTAATAGCTTTATAATGATGAATTATCAGTTTTTTAATTTAAATTAATTAAAATTAAAAATTCCATTCCTCATTTGTACTAGCCATATTTCAAATACTCAACAGCCACTTGTGCCTAAGGCCACCATACTAGACAATAAAGTTCTAAACAGTTGCTAATTTAACATAGATAAATTGGATAATCAATACAATGAAATCCAATGAATTTGGCTGTAATATTTTAATCCCTTGTCACATTTGGAAGACAAGTAAGTTGGGGGTGGGGGTGGGGATGGGAATCACAATTACTGGAAAATCGGTAACTGCATAATTGCCCAGAGTCCTACCTAATCCTATCTGGTAAACAGCATTCATCCTTATTCTAAGAGACACATTGAACAGATGGTCAGGTTAAAAGAAACAGGTCAAGTAGACATACATCCATTTATATACTTTTCTAATGTTCACAGCCATTGGTAAACAACTTCACCATTATAGGAAGGGGATAAAATCACATTCCTTCTCAGGTCTGGTAGAACTAAATATATAGTAAAACTGTCAAGTAAACATTGTTTATCTTGGACTTGACAGGTTGTTTAAATTAAGACAATCGTTAAAGAGAATAAACACTTAAAGTAACAGAAAATAATAGTTAATGGGAATGAAATCCTTACTACAACAAAATGGAGAATTTCATCTTCGTTCACCTCATTTTTCAATTTTCTGAATAAAGTCTGCATTGCTTTGCAAGGTCCACACCAGGCTTGGTAAACATCAATCACTAGAAGATGATAATATTTATGGGAAAACAGTCAAAGAATCTAGAATGGCAGCTTATCCCAACGCTGGGGCAGTGGCAAGAGCATAGACATAGCGGGTTTTACGCTGGAAGTGGGAGCCACGCTCTGTGCTGGAGTGCCATGAGATGCCCTGAGCTGGACAAGGGTGGGCGGAGCCCCAGTACCTGTTAGGCCTTTGTTCTGCAACATCTCATCCCACAGCCTTTGATTATTGATGACTGCCTGCAAAGGAAGGCACTGTAAAGGGTCTTCAAGTGCCAGCGCACCAGGTAAAGAATTGATACGTCATGCCCACCTGTAACTGGATTTCTCGCTTTTTGCTTGCCATTTTTCCACTATCACAAGAAAAAGGAAAGGAAGAAAAACAGAAAACATTTAAGAGGGAATTTAAATAATAATCTCTTTATACATTCAAGCAGCATCTGAACGTATCCTACAAATTTTCCTTCAGCAAACGTTGGATTGTGGCTCCCCTGGTTCAGAGGAGCCAATTACTGAAGGCGTCTTCATACTGGGCTCTGTGCTAAATGCGGACAGCAGCCACGCCATCTCACTCTCCCAATAATCCTGACTCAAGGTAGGAATGTGAGGAAGTAGTTTCTTAAAATAGCTTCGTTTGTTTCCCAAAAGCATTATGCAGTGCTCTATTTCGATTTGCACACATGTTGTCTATAAGCATGCTCGTGGATCTTTCTTGGGTTCCTCCCTTCCCAAGGAGACTGTATTTTTAGAAAGAGGCCACCAGTGTCCGCAGCGCAACATAAACGGCCCACGGGTTAAATCCACGAGGCCCCAACGCCCTCATCTGCCCTATTCGATGGTGTGAGGCCGTTTCCTTGTGGGTCTGACGGCGTGTGTGAGAGCAACAAAGGAGGGGCCCCGAACAGGGCTCCATCCCGGCGAAGGTGCCGGGTTCTCCAGCCCGCCTTACACAGAACAGATCCTCCTCTGGGCTAGACCGGGACGGTGACAGGCCAGGGACGGGCAGTCCTGAGCATCTCAGGCGCCGCCTGCGAGGCCTTGGGGGCCTTGCGCCGAGAGCTGCGCCTCGTCAGAGCACCTGGGCGCCGAGGGAGACCAAGGGGAGGACGTGGTCGCCAGGGGCCCGGGCAGAGCGCTCCAGGCGCCAACGTCCCCGCCGCGCCTCCGGCCGCGCGCGAGCCCCGCCTCCCCACCCGACCGCGCCCGAGGCCCCGCCCAGAGGCAGGCCCGGAGGCGGGGACCCAGCGAGGGCTCTGCGGCCGGGCGCCCCACGCCGAAGGCACAGCCCAGAACTGCTCCCCTGAAAGATGCTACCCTGCGCCAGCCGCCTCCTCCCGCCCCAGTGCCCCCAGCAGCTCCGCTGGGCCTCCGGGATGCACCTGCTCGGGGCAGGACTCCTTCCAGCGCCCGCCTCGGTTCTCTGGGTAACGTGGACACGCCTCACACTGGAGTAGAGGCGCTCTGCTGCCCAGCCCCAGCCGGCCTCCCAGCTTCTCCTGCACCTGCCCTGCGATTGGGGGTGGTTCTTCTTCTAATCATTTAGAAATAATTTTAGACTTAAAGAAAATAATACACAGAGCTTCCCCTAAAGTTGAAATCTTTAATATCCATAGTGCCATTATCATCGAAGCCAGGATATCAACACGGGTACAATATTTGACTACTTTATAGATCCCATACAAATCTGTTTTTCCACGAATGTCCTTTTTCTGGTCCAGGATCCAATCCGAAGTTCCACATTGCATGTAGTTGTCGTGTCTCCTTGATCTTCTTCCAATCTCAGTTTCTCTGAACCATCTTTCTTTTATAATCTTGATGTGTGTGTGTGTCTTTTCATTTCGTCATGTCATTTGTAGAATTGTATCGGGAATATTTTTTAACATCCTCTTCTTTTCTTGCCATATAAATTCTATCCTTTACACTTGTCTTAACATCTTTCTCAGTTTGCTCTATTTTCTCTTATTCTTATTAGACAAGATCTGTGAGGATCCCTTTTCTTGTGGTGTTTGTTAACTTCGGACTCACAGCTAATAGTCAAGAGGGACTGCTTTTCTTGTGAGCCCCTGTGCCAGGCCTGTGGAAGCATAGCTGCATAGTGGTGTCCTACATGCCTCTGGGTGGCCCCATCAATATCTAGGGTAACAGTCAAGTTCTATGTTAATTTTTCAGCTGAGACTTCCTATTTCACTTTGCTGAAAAAATCTGAATCTATGGATAGGACAATTCTGGGACCTGAATTTCCCATCAATGACTTTGCATCCACATAGAATTCCTAAGGATGGCAAGCATCTTTGCTCCTATGTGTATAGCCCATAACCCATCTTCATTTCCAACAGTTTATATGTAGCCACAGCTAACTGTGAATATGCAAGCTGAACCCTGGACTCTCAACCCAGAGAGTGTGGACATAGGAGTGTGGATCTCTGAAGACCAGGCCTGCCTGTTAAGGCTGGATTTCTTTTTCTAATATCCCAATGAATCCTTTCTGTATCAGTCATGCTAACCCCCTAGGACTTCAATTTCCTGTTTTGCTTCTCCTTCCTAGATATTTCTTTCTCTTAGTTTTTCACCTAAATTGAAAATTGTTGAAATAAAAATATTTTGAATTAATTTATTTAATAGTACCACATGTTTAGGCCTAGACAGCACATCTTTCTGTTCCAGCTTGCTCAGCCACATTGGCTGGAAATTAATCAGATAACTTCCCATTTCAACCATGTCTTCCCTATGGTTATTGCTTCCCCTATGGCTTTATGAGTCTTAACTTTGCTTAAAAATCAAACTTCCTTCAAATTTTCTCAGTTAACTTAGATAACCAAAGTTGAGTTTTCCAACAAGAATTTTGCAGAAGTTCTTGGATCCTATTTTTGAAACACCCCTAATTCCTAAATACTAAAATTTTTAAGAATTCTGAGGATTTTCTCTCTTGCTCCTATTATTTTAATTTCTTCAGTGAAGTCTAAATCAAAACTCTTAATTTTAATATATTCTGCCTGAAGCATATATGTAAATTGTTCTATTGCATATAATTATAAACACCTCATAACATTATTTATTGTTTACACTATTTGAATTTCATATGAATTAATGTTTAAGGGCAACTTCTCAAGAACTCCATAAGGTAGCAGTATGTATTTCTGTGGTAGCCGTTGTGAAGCAGCTAGCTCGCTATGAAATCAGACAAGCATCTCTGATCACACTCTACTGCCAACATTCTGAAGCGCTCATGCCCTTGCTCATTTGAGGACTAATAGTGATCTGGAGAATTAGATATACAAAGAGCTCTAAATTCATATTCTGGGACTCAGGATTGTCTTTCCTGTTGTCCTTCATCCTCCACCTTAGTTCTAAAATGGTACCCCTGTTTGGAAAATGCATGAAGCTCTGTGACTCACAGCTTTCCAAGTGATCCTAAAACTCAGTCTTTCCCATCTTTAAGAGGTCTCTGCTCAGGAATGGAAGACAGCCTGATAATATAGCCAGATAGCATGTTATAGGGCAAAGCTGATAAATGGGTGGTACATGAGCCACCCATTACTCTCCCACTTCAGTAGCAGACATCACTAATCAATCATGACAGTTTTTCCTGCTCTGTCTCAGACACACTCTCAGCAGAGCCTTAAAGGCTCCAAATCAGAAGCTTCTGTGACTTTAGAGTCAAAGGCCCTTTCCTAGAAGCTCCTGGGAATGCAACATGAGTCCCAAAGTGTTGTCATACATCAACTATGTGTAGCAGCAATAGTCCCTCCAAAATTAGTCTCAGCATAGAGCAGGGTCCTCTCTCCTGTTCTCTGCTACTAACTCCACTATTCCCTCTACTGTAGCCCCCAAGGATCCCAGCATGACATTGTTTTCATTAGTATCTGATACAGTGTCCATATACCATAGCCAATTTTTCTGCCTTTCTAAATTATTTTCCAATAACTTTCTTATCTGTGATAGCACAGTGGCCCAAAAAAGTTTTCTTGTGTTGTAGTCTAAATTTAACAACCCCTAGAAGTGAATTTAGGACTTGATTTGAGTCAGGATCTCAAAATGGAACTCCCCAAAGAACCAGATTACAGTCCCAGCTTGGAAGATTTTCCTAGGAGTGGGATATGTCATCCAGATTGGGGGGAAAGGGCATAGCAAAAGAGCCTTAAAAGCAGTAGGAGGAGGAGGAGAAGGAAGAAAATTTGATGGTTCATGACAACGAACATTCTTCCTTCAAATAAAAGCCTTTGGTATTACGTTCCTGAGTCCAGGATAGCATGTAGGGCTGGGGCAGACAACTCCAACCCAGGAATACATCTTGTCCTGCGAGGAGGGGCAGGTCATTGCGTGATGATGGCCATGGCGGCAAATGCGCCCCTGAGGAGGTGGCAGTCGCAGCTGCAAGGAGAAGTGGGAAGGTAGAAGCAGCACCCAGCCCCCCAGTGAGAGGGAAAGGAGGACTCAAAACTCAGAAGCTGCTTAATTGCCCCGAGGGATTCAGCTATGACAAGCACTGCCACAAGGGGCGCTGCGGAGCCATCAGACATTGGCCAAGGCAGCGAGGAGCCTGGCAGAAGGGGCTAGGGTTCAAGAGATGGACTATGGGTGTATCCAGCTGGAGGAGGCTCTGCCAGTTCCTATCAGTTTTGTTCCCATAGCGGCCCAGAAATAAGTTTCTCCATTTGTTGTGAACTTAATGTTATGTAGAAGAATATAGTATATTCCTACAATATTATAGGAAAGATCCTCTTCTTCACAATGAATAATGGTGGCAACTCCACTGTAAAAAAAAATGGTAATAACCAGCAAACAGTGTCTCAAACACAGGAACTATTTCTAAATTCCTCTTTAAGACGATATACTACCGAGCTGTTGTTTCTGGGTTTTTTTTTAACCATCACATGTGGCAATATTTGCTTCTTCTAGTACATTTCAAAAACCCTTAACCCTAACAGCACTTCTCACCTGAGGTTCTATGAGAAAACTAAGCCCACGTATTCATGTTCATTCATGTTATTCCACTTAAAAACCTTTGTAATTCTGGTATTAAAAATCCGTGATCCCAGCCCCTGTTATTTCAATTCCTATGCTTTAAGATCAGGCATACTTTTTGACCTGAGTACATAAAAATCCTTGAAATAGTGAGCCTTATTATTATAGTGATTCTATTTCAGTTTTGATTCCCTATTAGCATAGTCTTTTTTTATCCTTTCTCTTCTAATTCTCAACTTATCTAGTTGCACTCACAACTTAGCACTTAATTATATTGATATATGACACTGATCTATTTATTATTGTTTTTCTTCTTACTGCTTCAACTACATGTCTTGTCTTCCTTAAGTGGATTGTAAATTCCTCTAATTGCTAAGCATGTATTAATTTTATTGCCCACAATTTCTAAAAATTCACATTTAATTAAACAGCCAAAAGAGCCATCTAAAGAGCCATCTATGAGCATACGTCGGAGACAATTAGATTCAATCATTCCTTGACCTTAGTGAATTCATTCTTGTTAGCCATCAAACCATAGTTCTTTACAAAGCATTGGGTAGCCAATCACAAGAGACTTAGAAGTACTTGATAACACATCACATAAGTAAAATTATTTAAAGTTATATCCTGTTAGGTATAATTTCTGTACAACATAGAGCTTACACAAAAACCAATGTTAAATCAGTTCACAATCTGATTAAGTAAACAATATACTTTAAAACAATGAAAATATCTTTTTCTTATTAATTACTAGGTCAGAAATTTATGGCTCCCTCAAAATATTAACATTATTTATTCTTATGCAAACTGATTGAAGATGTTGTGGTCATTTTTGAAATCTTGGTTTAATATTGCATGTTAGAGTGATTTAAATGTCTTATTCTAAGTTTAAATTTATTTCAGTGCTGGAAATAACTCCTCCTTCTGGTGTCATTTAAAATGAAAGAAGTTCTTCATATTCTATCATGATACTCATCCTCCAATATGTAAGATTTTTACTCATCTTAAATGTAAGATTATGCAGACTTTTGTTATAACTACTCTAATTGTCCATCATCCTAAAAAATTTCAATTGGTTTTCTAGCAAATTAGCCAAATGGTGTTTAAAAAATGACCTAAAAAAACAAAATTTTAAAACAGAATAGAAAATTTGCTTTTTTAAATTTCTTTTTAAGTATACAGGTTGG